AAAATCAGTTTTTTTGTTGCTACTGCTCAAAAAAGTGCTTCAAAATTTAGTTTTGTGATTATTTTTCAGACAGTTCATTCAAATGATACATTAATAAGGTTTTTATTCATTATATTCTGACAAAATGCAATTTTTGTTAACATTTTAGTCAAAACACTATATTTGCCTTTTTCTCCATAAACAACTTTTGCTCTTATCCTCGTTTTGATGTCATGGGTCACATTTTAGGAAACATAATGTTAATAACATATTGCAAAAAAAGTCACTGCTGAGATGAACAGTTGTTGAGATATTTGCATGTGAAGGAACAGGAAGTGATGTCAGAGGGGATGTCTGCATGTGAACAGAGCGTTACTACAATAACTAATAAACACAAACTGTAGAGAAGAAACTGATGTTTAAATTATTTTTGTCTCTATCAGAGAGATGACGAAGAGTCAGAGAGAGTTCAAATAATATTGATTCAATAAACAAAGACCAGAGAGCTCTCTTTCTTGAAGACTTCCCCTGTGATGTCACTTCCTGTTTCATTTTGGCTGAGCCAAGTTCAAAAGAAAATATGCAGTTATGAGACAAAACAAGTAAAATCATGTTCCTTAAACATCAAGATGTTTTCTTTTACTTTTTGTATTTGAAGGTTATGTTTGTCTCTAGCTGTGTTTCCATTCACCATGAAAATGCACAAATTAGAATTTCGAAAATAAATTTGCTCAATCGAAACACGTCAATTAAAAAAAATATGTTTTTCGACAAAATGTTTTTGCGCTAGGATGAGGTAGTATTTCTGCCGCATCGAAATTGGTGTTTTTTTTTTTTTCAAAACTGCAATGGAAACACTTTTTTCGCATCATAGGAGTCACATGATCAACAACCAGCTGTTTCCACTGGTGAAAAAGACGATGAAGAAGAAGATAACATGAAATGTTAAATGGACTGAACTTATAGAGCACTTTATCAAGTCCCTCCGGACCCCAAAGCGCTTTACCCTCACATTCACACACTGACGATGGCAAACTACACTGTAGCCACAGCTGCCCTGGGGCACACTGACAGAGGTGGGGCTGCCATGCACC